TCTGTGTGTGTGTGTGTGTGTGTGTGTGTGTGTGTGTGTGTGTATGTGTGTGTGTGTGCACGCCCTTACAAGCCAATGAATCCGATATTGAATGAATTTCAAGCTCATCATTCCGGTGAGGCCTAGCAGTGATCGGATGGGCATTGTGTTCACGAACTTCATGGTTGATATTTCTGGATCTTTATGATTTTGATACCCTGCTAGCTTAGCACGTAGGGTCTAACTCCAGCACTGTCCATTTTGCAGTTTTGGAGAGTGCGGCTGCGCTCCACCACACTCTTGGTTTTAAAGTTTAAACTGAAAACAAAAAACACGGATGCTGATACCCTAGTAGCTTAGCACGTGGGGCCTTGTCCACCTATCTGCACTTTTGGGGAGTGCACCTACGCTCCACCATGCTCTCCGTTTCAAACTGAAAAACCCACAGACAGTTGTCAGAAAGAACTGTCCAATTTTGGAGTCTCCGGCCTCCACACACTCCAAAATGGAGAGCCTACTGTCGGGCCCTCCATTTTGGTTCCATTTGGAGAGTCGGCCTCGAGTCTAGGCCGACAGGAAGATACTTTTCTTTGTCCGCATGAGGGGGACAAAAAGAACGGACAGCTGTTGGAGAGGTGTCAGAATAGAGAGAACAGGTGGAGTGAAGACTGGAAATCATTGAAGAATGTTCATTTTTCGGAGTCTGGCGACTCTCCACCTACTCTCCATTTTTCGAGCGAAATGGAGAGTGGTGGATCAAGACACGTATATATTCGGCGGCGGCCTGTGATTTTGTGTCGTGACTCCCCTCGGTCTGACCATGGGGCCCTCCGGAGTCCGAACTCAGCACATATAATTTGTGGTGAGACCTACATTCTGGGTGTGAGCATGGGGCCCAGCAAACTGAAGACCCGTCCCATCCATAAGCAACCACAAGCTTGGAAGCAGTATCTTGCCATAGAACTCTGTTAAAACTTAAAATAAGAAAGAGTTCCCCCTTCCCACCGAAAAAGAAATAATAAAGTTAAATAAACCTTATGGCTAGTTTTTCCTGCTCCAAAAAGGGCAGTCTGGTCGCCATTTGACGAGAAAATCAGCACTTCTCAGACGCTATGGAGATGTTCAATTATTTGCGACCGTCTTCCCCCGAACAAGAAGCATACGAGTTGTAAACAAATAGAACGCATAGGTTGCGTTGTATTTGTTTAATCCGCATATTCCTTATATTCGTATTGAAGTGGACTACGACAAATTCATGGACAGATTGGGGCTGGGTCCAGGCTGAGTAGGCTCAGTTTTTTGGCGCTGTGCAGAGGGTTCGGAAAACTGTTTCTTACTCGTAGCAGTGTGGCTCCAGAAATCTCACACGGCCTCTACATAGCATCAATTGTTCTGGACAGCATGCTACATGTATCCGGGAAGAGACTGGTCTGAATACATTCATAATTTTGAATGAGTGTGAATGTATTCAGACCACTAGATACATGTAGCACGGAACTGTGGCTGTCGCAGCACTCCGGCCACTATCTTGGCAACGGGGCTGTCAAGGCACCTTGTTACCTTCTCAGAGTGTGTAGCAGCTCTCTTGCCGACAGCAGTGAACCAGGGGGGGGGAGGGGGGGAGGGGAGAGAGAGAGAGAGAGAGAGAGAGAGAGAGAGAGAGAGACTACAGCACTGTGCTCGAGCAGGTGAGTCATCTCTTCTTTTGTTGGACCATCTGTCCATTTATGTGTGTCATGAGCCATCTCTTCTTTTGTTTGAACGTCTGTCCATTTATGTGTGTCATCATTGAGCAGGGGTCATGCCAATTGTCTCTATATCGTTCCAATTTTAACGATGTCTCGAAGTACTATTTTTTCTTTCTGGTTTTGTTCTCCTGCTACGTCAAAGAGAGCTAACCTAATGCATGGTCATCAGGACTGCATCTGGCAGGAAACGTAGGTTCAATACCTTCTGATGAGCGTGCATTGTGTTAGGGGGAAGACGGCACTGAAAATCTGCACCAGGAGTTCCCTGAACTCATCAAGAGTTGTACGGGCCCGTCCCGTCCCTGTAGCAAGGGCAGAGCCGCGGCTGGCACTCGCTTGAAAATCGGAGAAAGATTAAACTAATGTTCTATCCGAAGATTTGCTTTTTCCTTCAGAAATCCAAATAGGAAGTATAATAGTAAGTCCATCTTATTTGAATACAAGTTATACAACACGCGTGTTATATTTGAAGTGCCCTTCTATTTGAAAAAATGGCACGAACTTTCCAAATGACGTTTTTTTTGGAAAACTCGAATACAACTCGTATGCATTATGTTCGGGGGAAGACGGTAGTCCCTTCAGACGACGCTACAGAGAGCAGACCTTAGGGGTTTCTTGCCTGTGCCTCTCGTTCCTCCTGCTCTCCAGGACCTGTTCAGCTGCCAAGCCCGAGCTGTTGTAGCAGGCAGCTGCAGGTGATTGGATGAATGGGAATTTTCTATTTTCTATTTGAAAAAAATAGGAATAACTTTCCAAGAAACGTTTTTTTTGGAAAACTCGAATGCAACACATATGCATTATGTTCGGGGGAAGACGGTAGTTTCTTCAGACGCTACTGAGAGCAGGCCTGAGGCGAGACCTGAGGGGCTTCTTGCCTGTCCCTCTCGTTCCCCCTGTTCCTCAGGACCTGCTCAACTGCCAAGGCCCAGCCGTGGTAGCAGGCAGGGGCAGGTGATTGGATGGATGGGAAGTTCCAGGCCAAGGCATCAATTGAGGTGCTCATTGCCAGATGTCACGGGACATTGAGCAGGTTATATAAATGGCTGGCTGAATCTTCTCCCATGTTTTCTGCGATGTTTGGGAAGGCCATCCTGTGGATAACTGGAAAACTGACAATCCTCAGAATACAGCTTTATGCAAGATACTCTTGCGCCCAGGGGGATTTGAACCCGAGACCTGGCCCAAATGTGAAGCGAAAAACAAGTGTTTATTTTAGTTTTTCAAGTTCGCAGCCAGTCAGATTCGAACCGGGAACCTCCAAGTAAGCATACTGTTAGCTGATCTCGGACACATAGGAGATGATAGGACCCTATAGGACCTAGGCCTCTAACATTCTCTAGGCCAGAGCCCAGTATGACTGTATGACGCTGTAGTCCCAGGCAAAATTGGCATAGCAAAAACTGACGAGCTAGGACTACAGTTCATTCATTTTGCAGTTGGTGATTTTGGTGGAGTGAAGAGGTGCAGAAGCAGCGCCAATCTTGGTGGCTGAAGGAGAGGGTTTGGGCGCAGCCATAGCTGGTGTGTTCTGGCACTATACTGCACGGTTTTGAGTGTCGTTTGTTGCAGACTGCTTGGTGTAGCCTGGCCCTCAAGTGAACATCACCTTTTTCAATTTTCATAAAGGGTGCCGGTGTGATTGTTCAATGTGAGCTTGGTGTAAAGCTTTCTCCCATTGCCATCTTCAAGATTGGTCTTCACTTCAGTTTATGGAAAGAAGTTGGAGTTTTGCAAATTCCTAACACTGGTATTGGAGCTGGCAACAATCTGGACGTTGGCGAAGGGATTGGGTTCTCCAAGCTGCCACATAAGCATCTTTGGCGCGTTAACCATTGCCATGTCAGCAATTATCTTCCACCAGTGGGCATCTACCTATTTCATGTTGCACCTTGTTTAGCATTGTTTACCGCAAGGATAATAACCGTGGAGAAAAAGAAGAGAATATGGAATTGAAGAAAGGCAGTTGGAAAAGAGGCGGAGGGCATTCATTTTCAGCCCTCTCCACATTCCAATATGTTCCTGTGGATGAGTTGGTCACAATGCAGCAGGAGATGACGTCCATCAGCAGCAACCTGGACGCTGCTGTGGTCGAGCTGCAAGTTCAAGCAAGTCCAAACACACCACCTTTTTCCCCTAAGAAAGCTGCAAAAGCGAAAATTGAGAGGGAGCGGATATCAAAACCCCAGATGGCGCAAGGTCATCTCAGCATCAAGGAGATTCCCCAAGAGACAAGCAATCAGGAGAACAACATTTCACAAGGATTGGCTGATAAGAGGTAGAATAGCAAGCATAGCGGGCAACCGTATGGAAGAAATGGCACCAGCTTCCGCCCTCAAGATTTCGATGACACAGGAAAGCAGCCGTCCTCCCCGAGCACTTTGGACATCCCAGCGGGCCCCACAAGGCAGCAAAGCCACAGTCTTCTTCTTGACCTTTATTGTTACATCCGACAGACCCCCAGGGGCCCAATATGCTGAGTTCTCCACACAGACTTACCGTGGAAGCGTGTAGGATCTGATCTGAGAATTTGATCAGATTTGCAGGCGCTGGAGTCGGAGATTGGGGAAGGTCCAATTATGTATATGCTTGCCTAAGGGA